CTACATAGGACAAGGCTTAACAAAGAGTTATTAGCACACTTAGGATGTATTCTTTAACAAGGAGAGAAACTTTGAAGAGGAACTTTTACTTCCCACAGAAATGGAAGGTCCCAAATCTAGAAATTGATTACCTGTAAGGTGCTTTGCTATGAAGAATAAAAAGGCCACAATTCATGTAATCACATTTATTCTGAATGTATAATTTGGCTTTTTTCCTTTTTCTCAAACTTCTTAATGTACACTGGCTGTACATGAGTTATAAATGCGAACTTTATATACTAACTCAATTTTCAGTCTTATTTCTTGCAACTACCCAAACAACATTGTTTGAGGTTGATCTCTAACAGTCATTTTCTGGTTGATTTCTATCAATTATATTTTGGCTCTCTAAATTCTGAGTCACTTCATATCAGAGGTATGGTTAAAGAAGTAACTGATACAATTTGTTGAAACACTGTTATCTGAGTAAATCTTCTTTTTGTTTTACTATTCCTGTGGGAGCCTCCTCTACACCTTAATAAAAAAGCTTGACTTTCTTTATAACCTGTTATATATACCTGTTTCTTTAGATTTTACCAGATTAGCATCTCCTTACTTATTTACTATTGAATTTTTCAAGTTATTGTCTTCGAACAATCTAATAAGTATTAATTTATTGAGTATTGATAAATCTTACTGCCCTTCCCTGTCTCTCTGTTCTAAATTGATGATATCTTGGTTATGATACTTCAGTGACCATGTAGATAGTGGGCAATTTGAAGCTTTTTCTGAACCTTGTTATAATGAATCTTTAGAGTATTTTGACCTGTGATACTGATACATGTATTATGTACCATTTTACTTTGTTTTGAGAAACAAATATGTACAAAAATGATAGGTCAGTATCTACTTTGTGAATATGATGGGAAGTTTGGAATAAATGACAACAGTGTTCCTGTAGAAAATCTGGAAATCCAGAGAGAAGAAAACAGTAATCCTCAAACCCAGAAATTCCTAATAGTATTTTTGTCACTATCAATTTGAAGAAAACTATTTTGTGCATAATTATTTTATTCAGAGAGTAATGTAGTACTTCCCCATGTGTTAGTATTATTTTACCATCAATTTTTACAATGTTAAAATATATAAGTTCCATATTTTAGTTATCTTGTTAAATGTAACTAGATAAGTATACTGTTCCTTACCCACCGTCATTATTTAAAATGAAAATATTAAGTTGCTTAGCTTTGTGTGTGTGTGTGTGTGTGTGTGTGTGTGTGTGTGTTTGATATAGGGTCTCATTCTGTCACCCAGGCTGGGGTGCAGTATCCGGATGTAAGCTCACTGTACCCTAGACCTCCTGGGCTCAAGCAGTCTTCCGACCTCAGCCTCCCAAGTAGCTGGGACTACAAGTGTGCACCACCATGCCTGGCTAATTTTAGCCGGGGGTTTACCTTGTTGTCCAGGCTGGTTTCTAACTCCTGACCTTAAGTGATCTGCCAACTTCAGCCTCCCAAAGTGCTAGGATTACAGGCATGAGCCAGGCCTAGTGCTTTGTTTCTTTAAATGTAGCACATGTGAGTTCTTTTTGCATCAGGGTAGTTACCCTTATTGGGAGTTTTTAAGTTTTGTTGAAAACCAGTGACACCTGAAATGTCAGTATTTGTCTCTGCTTTGTGAATGAACTATTTTTGGAGGCAAGTGAGGCATTATAGAAAATTTTAAACGTATTTGTAAATCAAGGTTTTTTTTTTTTTTTTTAAAGACAGTTTTGTTCTTGTCACCCTGGCTGGAGTGCAGTGCCAGTTTCGCGTCACCACAACCTCTGCCTCCCAGGTTCAAGCGATTCTCCTGCCTCAGCCTCCCGAGTAGCTGGGATTACAGGCATGTACTACCACATCTGGCTAATTTTGTATTTTTAGTAGAGACGAGGTTTCTCCATGTCAGGCTGGTCTCAAACTCCCAACCTCAGGTGATCCGCTGCCTCAGTCTCCCAAAGTGCTGGGACTACAGCTGTGAGCCACCATGCCCAGCCTTTTTTTTTTTTTTTTAGTACTTTTAAGTGTAGTAGGAAAGGATGCTTGATTATAGTTAGTCTTTTTAAAACAGGTTATATTTCATATTTTTTTCTCCTTCTAACCTCCAGTCCCTAATGTCATAATTTTGGCTGTTCTGGGGACTATATTCTTATAGTAAATGATAAAAAGTTTTGTTTGGGCAGGTGCAGTAGCTCACAGCTGTAATCCCAGCACTTTGGGAGACTGAAGTGGGAGGATCACTTGAGGCCAGGAGTTCGAGACCAGTCAGGGCAACATAGCAAGACATCATCTCTGCTAAAAATAAAAATTTTTAAAATTAGTCAAGTGTGGTGATGCATGCATGTAGTCCCAGCTAATCAGGAGGTTGACAGGGGAGGATTGCTTGAGTCTGAGTCTGTCAGTTGAGGCTGCAGTGAGCCATGATTGCACCATTACACTCCAGCCTAGTGACAGAGTGAGACCCTGTCTCACGAAACAAAAGAAATTGTGTTTATTTTGTGCTAGTTGTTCTTGGTGGTTTTAACTTTGAGGCACAATATCATAGCACCTAACCTATTCAGTTAAGTTTCTAGTTTGCTTGTTTATATTTCTTGACAGACTATAAACTCCTTGAGGGCTAGAGATTTACCTTGTTCACCAGAGTATTTCATTTACTATAAGCAGTATCTCATGTAGTTAGATGCTTAATTAGTGGAGGGATTAGAGAGATGTAATATCAAAGGTAAAAAATGATTATTTCTCTAAGTACTGAAGTTACAGCTGGTGATTAATCATTGTTACTATTTTGAAAATGGTGAAATTAATTCCCAGAAGGAGAGAGAATACAGAAACAGTCATGGTGCTTTGCCATGAGTGTTATCTCTGAGTCTTAACTTGTCCCCTCTGCCTTGCTTCCTAGGATAAAACCACTGGAATCCAGGAATGTAGTAGATTTTGGTCCCCAGAGGAAAAAGGCAATGTGAATGGAAGGACTTGTACATAGCCTGAGGCAGCATTGAATTCTGGTGGGGATAAGAACAACCAAGATGCTAGTTCCCTCTACTGAGGGGTAGGCAAATAAAGAGACAAAGGGAGATACAAACATTAGCGGTTACCTTATGGATAATAGTTAGGAATATATTGTTTTGCTGTTGTAAATTACTTTTTAATAATGGCATTAATTTTGTTCCCATTTGTATGGCTAAGAAAATTTATTTCAGGCTAGTCTGATGGTAGTGGCTTATTAGAACTTATTAACATTAGTGTCACTAAAATTGGTATACAACTCCCCACTGCTAAATTTGACTGGCTGAAAGAAAATTTATTTCATGGTGGTTGATGACAAGGTGACTTTTTAATAGTTATTCTTGTGTTTGCTCCCTCAGCATTTGACATTGTGCAGCAAAGAAATGGTTATGGAGAAGCCCAGTCCGCTGCTTGTAGGGCGGGAGTTTGTGAGGCAATATTATACTTTGCTGAATAAAGCTCCAGAATATTTACACAGGTAAACTTTAAACAAATAATTTGGTATTTTTATTTACTTTTTTCTTGCATATGACTACATATATTTTGCATTTCTTGTCTCCTCATTACCCGACAGTATCTTTGTAAACTGTATTCAATATTTTATTCAATTGATGGCAAAAAGTGCTTTTGACTGCAACTCACAGTAACAAAAACACATTATGTCATATTCTAGTATATAACATATTCATATCTATATATGCACATACTTCTTATATGCACTCTAGATTTCATTTTTAGAGTCAGAGTCTTGCTGTGTCACCCAGTCTGGAGTCCCGTGGTATGATCATAGCTCACTACGGCCTCAAACTCTTGTCCTCAAGCGATCCTTTCATCTTGCAGCTTGCCTTCCCAAAGCACTGGGATTATAGGCATGAGCCACCAAGCCCAAACTTTATTATTTCACTAAAAAAAAAAAATCTTGGGGCCAGGCACGGTGGCTCAAGCCTGTAATCCCAGCACTTTGGGAGGCCGAGGCGGGTGGATCACGAGGTCAAGAGATCGAGACCATCTATCTGGTCGACATGGTGAAATCCCATCTCTACTAAAGTATAAAAAATTAGCTGGGCATGGTGGTGCGTGCCTGTAATCCCAGCTACTCGGGAGGCTGAGGCAGGAGAATTGGCTGAACCCAGGAGGTGGAAGTTGCGGTGAGCCGAGATCGCGCCATTGCACTCCAGCCTGGGTAACAAGAGCAAAACTCCGTCTCAAAAAAAAAAAAAAAAAAAAAAAAAAAATCTTGGGGGTCAGGTGCTGGAGAACTATATAAGGTTTACATGAGGCTGGATGCAGTGGCTCATGCCTGTAATCCCAACACTTTGGGAGGCCGAGGCAGGTGGATCTCTTGAGGTTAGGAGTTAAAGACCAGCCTGTCCAACATGGTGAAGCCTCATCTCTACTAAAGGTACAAAAAGTAGCTGAGCGTGGTGGCAGGCCTCTGTAGTCTCAGCTACTCAGGAGGCTTGATGCAGGAGAATTGCTTGAACTTGGGAAGTGGAGGCTGCAAATGAATAGAGATCACACCACTACACTCCAGCCTGGATGACAAAGTGAGACTCTGTCTCCAAAAAAAAAAAAAACCGTGGGTTTGACCAACTAATGAGTTCCAATATGTGAGGGAGTTTGGGGGAAGATACAGAATTAATACAGCCTTTTAATACCTGAAATTTGGTCTTTTCATGATTCAGGGGTTTTTGTTTTCTTTAGTGATAAAAAAAAAAAAAAACCACAAAGTTTAAAACAATAGGTCTCTACACCATCATGTTTAAACAATAACAGAATTCTGGTTTAGACCTAACTTATTTAACCAATGTCTTTCTTAATGAAAATTAAGGTTGTTGTAATTTTTCACTTGTGATAAGCAACACTGTAATGAGTATCCTGAAACATGCATTATTTGTGCATCTTGCTAGTTTTTTTCTCACTTTCCTGAAAATTTCATGCATCAAAGGTATGAGCGTTCTTGAGGCTTTTCATGTATATATACACAGATACACACACACACACACACACACACAGAGCCAAATTGTTCTGTATAAAAGTTTGCCAGTAGTACATGAGAGAAAATAGTTTAAATTTGAAAATAAGAGTAATGGTTAAAAGCATGGACTCTTGAGTTAGACTGACTGCATTTTTGTCTTGGCTGCCCCACTTGGTAGGTATATATTACCTTAGTGGGGGAGTTCATTTAACCTCTTCTGAGCCTCAGCTTGTCCATTTAGATAATAGCACTTCATGAGATTGTTAAGAAAGTTAAGTGAATCAGTATACATAATACACTAAAAACATTGCTTGGTATAAAGGAGGCTCTTACATGTTTTGATATCGGAGTTGCATTTTCTTTGTGAAAAAATTAACTTCACACCTTGGAGCTTAATTCAGAAAGATGTTAATTCTAATTGCTTTAGATAATGCCAGAGAAAGACTAATTCACATATACTTAGGAACAGTACAGAAATATTAAAAAGAAATTAGATGTTGGAGTAATTTTTGATTTTAGACTTGGTCTCTGAATTATTTCAGTTATTTTAAATCTAAACATTTTAAGCCTTTAGTTAGTACTCATTTGGAGATCTGAATATAGTATTAAACTCTGATTCCCAATCAAGTCCAGATAGCTGAGTCTTTGTATCTGAAGAAAAAAAACAGTGTCAATTACTATAGCATCTGTATTTAGAATGTACTAAATAGTCAAAACTATCCTATTTTCCACTTAACAAAAAATAGATGTGATAAGAATTAGATGTAAATATCTAATGATTGTCTACTTACTGTGCCAGATAAACTAAGCATTCTCTGTGCATTACTCATTTAATCCTTACGACAACCCTATGGAGTAATTACTTTTCCTGTTTTATTAGCAAGGAAACTGAACTTAAAGACCATAAGCAACTTACCTGTCCAAGATTACACAACTAATTAGTGACAGAGCCGGATCCTAGTTTATGACATCAGAATTCTACTGCCTCTTGACATTTTAGTGTTAATCATTAATTATGGTTTTGCAGATTTTATGGCAGGAATTCTTCCTATGTTCATGGTGGAGTAGATGCTAGTGGAAAGCCCCAAGAAGCTGTTTATGGCCAAAATGTAAGTATCAATTTCATGTATAGTTTAGAAATTTTGTGTTAAGATGGAGATTTTTAAAAATAGCCTTCTTGTGTCCATGGATTTTTTTTCAGTATGATTGTTAGTTATAACTGACATTTGTGTTTGACAATCAATGTCAAGCATGCTTTGAGTTCTTAAACATGATTTTTGTATGAAACATGGTGTTATATTGAGACAGCTGCAAAGGAGAATATGGTATGTTTTATGTCATTGATGCATTCTATACATGAGATAGTGGAGATGGTATACTAAGTTTATACAAATCTGAGCTAAACCCTATGCTATAGGAATGCACAGAAATGTATGTTTCCTGTGGCCTAACAGGGAAGGAAGACTTTGTGTAGAGGATGTGAGACTATAACATTTGGTGTTATCAAACAAGAAGAAATTAAAAGTAGACCAAAAAAATAGCATCAGCAAATACACAGTAAAATTATGTGTAAATTCAAGGAGCAGTCAACACAATTTGTGAGAATGACTACTTACTACAGAAAAGTGGAAGAAAGCTGCATAAAGGCCAGATTGTTGTGCAATATCAGAGAGCTGTTGGGATTTCTTGTTTAGGAGCATCAGTCTGGCAGTGTTGCATAGCATGGTCAGCGGATTCAGTTCAGGCAGGAGGATTAAGTAGTTAATATTGTAGAGTTGTAAGGAAATCAGTGAGAGTAGGTAATAATATTGTGTAGGTAATGCAGTATCACAAGAGTTTATATTTTTCCTCCTTCCTTAATAAAGGATATACACCACAAAGTATTATCTCTGAACTTCAGTGAATGTCATACTAAAATTCGTCATGTGGATGCTCATGCAACCTTGAGTGATGGAGTAGTTGTCCAGGTCATGGGTTTGCTGTCTAACAGTGGACAACCAGAAAGGAAGTTTATGCAAACCTTTGTTCTGGCTCCTGAAGTAAGTTTCTCATTTCACTTGGTTTATATTTATATGATTGAATTTGGCTGTTCCTAGTTGGTTGGAAGTGTCCAATGGTTTCTTCTAATAAGTTTAGATTTGCATAGTGCTATTTTTGAGAAATTTGTGTTTGACCTGTTTGTTTGAGAGCACGCGCGTGTCTGTGTATATGCATATGCTTTGACTATTTGGAATTAAAGTCAGATACTGATACAAGTGTGCAGAGGGATGATTAAGATTACATTAATATAGAAAATATTAGCTGGGTGTAGTGGCAGTCACCTGTAATCCCAGCTATAGTGGTGGGCGCCTATAGTCGCAGCTACTTGGGAGGCTGAGGCAGGAGAGTCGCTTGACCCCGGGGGGGCAGAGGTTGCAGTGAGCTGAGATGGCCCCACTGCACTCCAGTCCGAGCAACAGAGGAGACTCTGTCTCAAAAAAAAAAAAAAAAAGATTACATTAATAGTACAAAAGTACAGGTATATTTGAAAGATTACATTTGAAAACAAAATAGAAAAATTCTGTTAGTTTCTTTTTTATTAAATAGCTGTTTCTTGAGTTCTGCTAGGTTGGTGCAAAAGGAATTGTGGGTTTTGCTGTTACATTTTTTTGAGTGACCTTTTTACTTTATGTAAACAGCATAGCATGTTCAGCATTGGATAATTATATTGAGTCCAAATTATTTCTCTAGTATTAAAATGAGAAATTGTGTATGCCATGTAATTTGCTCTTTTATGTAATACCAGATTTCTGGCTATTTATGGAATAAATGTTGTCTCCTGTAGGGATCTGTTCCAAATAAATTCTATGTTCACAATGATATGTTTCGTTATGAAGATGAAGTGTTTGGTGATTCTGAGCCTGAACTTGATGAAGGTGAGGTTATTTTGAAGATAACGAAGATAGAAGGGTTCTGTTGGTACTCTTGATGGACTAATTTTTCTAAGTATGAAGCTTAAGGAAATTTGCTTCTTTATTGTAACTGAGTCAAACATCCTTTTGTTGTTTTGTTGTTGGTGTCTTTTTGTTGCCGTTGCTGTAATAAAGAGATGTCCATTATTTGAAGTTATATGAAATTTGGATGTCAAGAAAAAAGGTTCCCTTCAGTCTCCTCCCCTGTAGATAACCAAGTTTGGTGCCTATTGGAGAAGGTGTTTGGATTCTATACTTGGCAACATGTATTTTTATAAATATGGAATCACACTGACTCAAAGCTCTTTTTTTTTTTTAATGTACTACGTCTTTATTGGCCATCCATGTTGTGGCTATGCCATGATTATTTAATTGATTTTTCATTGTCATGCAGTGGTTAGTTTCTTTATCACTGTTGCTCTATTAAATAGATGTGACAAAGGAAACTAAATTGTGCCTTTAATGTAACTTATTTCCTACCTTTTTCTTACTAAAAGATTTTTTTTCTAATAGAGTACAATAAATATTAAACTTCATCCTTACTTTTCAGTTTTTGAGAGAACGGGATATTGCAGTTGAATGCCTTTGAGGAAAGAAAAATGTTTTTTTGGCTGAGTGCCTTGGCTCATGCCTGTAATCCCAGTGTTTTGGGAGGCCAAGGTGGGCAGATCATTTGAGGCCAGAAGTTTGAGACCAGCCTGGCCAACACAGTGAACCTCCATCTCTATTAAAAAAAAATTTTTTTTTAATTAGCTGGGCATGGTGGTATATACCTGTAACACTAGCTACTCAGGAGGCTGAGGCAGGAGAATTATTTGAACCTGGAAGGCGGAGGTTGCAGTGAGCTGAGATCATACCACTGCACTCAAGCCTGGGCAACAGAGTCAGATGCCCATCTCAAAAAAAAAGAAAGAAAATTGTCTAATTTTCTTTTGTGCTATCATACCACTTCCTTAAACATGTTAAAAATATGTGCATTAGAAATTGTGAAGCCTCTTTAAGAAAGATGTGCTGTATTATGTATTGCCAGAATCAGAAGATGAAGTAGAAGAGGAACAAGAAGAAAGACAACCATCTCCTGAACCTGTGCAAGAAAATGCAAACAGTGGTTACTACGAAGCTCACCCTGTGACGTAAGAATAGTATTTGCAAGATTACATTTGGTGTAAACTGTCAGCAAGGTGGTTTTTGTTCCTAGAATTATTGCTGGAACTAAATTTTTGATAAAACCACCTATTAGGTCAGCATTTGAGTACCTATTGTATATTTGCAAGAAATTTGGAAATAACTGTTTTATTTAAAAATTGAATATGGCTTGCACCAAAATAGTGGTTCCTTACTGAAAATGTAGTGTTTAAGACAACATAGAGTAAGCATTTTCTTTTTATAAAATAAGGTTTGTAGTTAGCACTAAAGTAAACATTCTTAGTAATTCAGTTTTTAAATGGTGGGGTTAAAGAACTGCTACTTGAGAATATTATTCCTTTCTGCCTTACAGTTCATTTTGGAATTTTGCTTTGAATATTTTGTAGATCTAGGACAGGTTATTGGCATATGACTAGTTACACCCACTGGATTAGAGAGAAATTGAATTTTGTCTTACTTGAACTCCTACTAAAAAGTGAACTAAATATTTTATTGTAGTAATGGCATAGAGGAGCCTTTGGAAGAATCCTCTCATGAACCTGAACCTGAGCCAGAATCTGAAACAAAGACTGAAGAGCTGAAACCACAAGTGGAGGAGAAGAACTTAGAAGAATTAGAGGAGAAGTCTGCTACTCCTCCTCCGGCAGAACCTGTTTCTCTGCCACAAGAACCACCAAAGGTTAGATCAAAGGAACTCTTTAGACTTACAACATCACATGTTCAAATTTGGTGCCATTAATCAAGTATGGCCTTTGTTCTATTAATGTTAAATTGTTGAGTAAATTATGTATATGAAATAAGCTGTGGGGTTTTTTTTGTTATCCTGAGAAAATTTTGTTTCCCTGCCCCGCAATATACTCCTCTAAGAGTGAAATTTATAACTTAAGATGAATGCTTGTCTGTATGCAGTGTTTAGTAACTTATATGAAATTATTTGAATCCATGTATAAGGCTGTCAGTTGTTCTTTCATTCTGTATTAAATTCTCTGAGCACAGATGCACCAGGAGTCATGCAGTTTCCCAACTTAAACAAGTTGGTCTATAATTAAAAGAAGAGATACCCGTTGTTTGTGGTTTAAATGGGATCAGTTTCCTTTCTACACCAATTAAACTATCTTGGAAAGATGAGTGACACCCTTAGTGTATCATGTAAGCCTACCTAAAACTTCTTTTATCTTTCTTCAAAGTCGAAGGTTAAAGTATATTTGGGTAGTGATAGGAGATTCTTTGTTCAATTTGTGAATGTCAGAGTTTCCAGCTAATACTCTCTTCTTTCCTAACCTTCCCTCTCCCTTTAACACCATCACACACCCTGTCTCACCCCCAAAGGAGAAATAAATTGGTTCATTAGGTTCAGATTTTTCTAGCATGTTAGTGGTTTTGTTTGCCACTTGCTCATCTAGAGTATGCAGGAACTTGCTTGTGGTTTTATTTAGTAGTCAGACAAAATAGTTATAAGTAAGCTTGCATAATGAGATTTTGAAAGCTGGCACATAGACTGGCATGTGTGTGTGTGCCTTTCTTTTAGGAGTCTTCCAATATAGAGCAATAGTTTAGAAATGAAAAGAAAATATATATTTGGAAGTTTCCCTGTAGGAATGTTGGTGGTTTTCCATGATTAGTAGTCTAGGTTTGTTGCATTTCCTGCAGGCTTTCTCCTGGGCTTCAGTGACCAGTAAAAACCTGCCTCCTAGTGGTACTGTTTCTTCCTCTGGAATTCCACCCCATGTTAAAGCACCAGTCTCACAGGTAACCAATCTGTGAACACATTGGATTGTATCCTTGTTACATTGCCAACTGCTTATTTTTTAAATACTTTTTAAAATGAGTCAATCAGAAATTATGGATTAAATATACAAAAAACTTGTATTAAATGTCAGTGCACCCACTTTAAATGTCAAATCTCCATTCATCATCTATATAGGTGGTATTTGGGGTTTGGGTGTGTGAAATACAGATTAAGTTGGTTTTTACCAATATGCAGTATTGTCATTTAAAAGGCTTCTTAAAATAACAGAATGTTCCTTTTTAAAAAGCTTCAGCAAAAATATTTTAGGTAAGAAATTCGGAGAAGCACAAAGTAGTGTGGCGTAATACAGAATCATTTTTAAAAAGAAAACAAAACTTTTTAACATACGCTGCCTAAGCTCTCGGTGTGTACATGGTTCACACCACTTAATTGAAGCCTGTACCAACTTATGACTGTAGTGTTCACCTTAACTGATCATTCTAGTATTCTGCTTTTTGTCTGTTTGTCATCTTACCATTTCAGAGCTTTCAAAAATGTGAAAATAAGACACTGCCTACCTAAGAAGTTTGTTACATTTAGTTGAGAATGAACTAAATTCTAATTAAGTTTATCAGCATATAAAGGGTGTCCAATTTTTTTGCCCTGTATTTGGCATTAAACTTCATTCCACTAGAAAATTTATGCTTAAAATGTTAATGTATAAATGTCTTTTATAGGTTCTAAACAGTGAAATTTTGAGGTTTTAAAGGTAGCAAGTTTTATAGTTTTTCTGGTGTTAGGACACGTGATCAGCTACATAAAAGTAGAATGTGCCCATGATACTTTCTTTGTTTTTATTTGGATATTCAGGAAATATGTGATTACCCTTATGTAAGATGGCTACCCAGAGTTCCATTTAACAAAGAAAATCCTCAGTATTGTGTGTGCTTTTCAGCCCATCTGGAGACCCAATAAATGACTTTTGGCCCTTCTGAAATCTTCATTTCCTATCAGATTTGGATTTGGAACCTTTGGATTATTTCATTTCAGAGAGTTTAAACAGTTAAAAGTTAAAATAGCTAGTTCTTATGCCTTTGATATGTGGCAAGCATTGTGTGAAGCACTTTTTATTCTCAGTGAATCCTCACAACCACCCTCTTAGGGTGAGTACCATTATTTCTATTTTAGAGATAGAAAAATTGAGGCCTAGAGTAACTCACAGTCGTGTGCATAGTAGGGGTGGGCTTTGAAGTCATGCAGTTGGACATGAGTCCATATGTGACTCATGTAAACGTTTATTTTTTTGAGACAGCGTCTCGTTCTGTAGCCCAGGCTGGAGTGTGGTGGCAGTGGCACTATCTTTGCTCACTGCAACCTCTGCCTCCCCAGCTCAAGTGATTCACCTGCCTCAGCCTCCTGAATAGCTGGGATTATAGGTGCCTGCCACCATGCCTGGCTAATTTTTGTATTTTTAGTAAGGAGGGGGTTTCGCCATGTTGGCTGGGCTGGTCTCGAACTCCTGCCCTCAAGTGATCCACCCGCCTTGCCCTCCCAAAATGCTGGGATTACAGGAGTGAGCCACTGTGCTCCGCCTCATGTAAACCTTATACAGTTCTCCAGCACGTTGCTGAAGAGTTATGTATTTATCTTAGCTGTATTTACATCAAAGAGGATTATATCAAAGACGTGTCTCTTACCCAGAAAAATACCTTCATATATATCTTTAGTAGTTTTCCTTAGTTTGAGTATTTTTGAAGTTAGTTTTCAAGTTGTAGGAAATGAAGTTGTATTTCCTATGCCACCCTGTTAATAAAACAAAAATTTTAAATGTTTAGAATTTAAACTTTAAAAGAACGTTCTAATCTCTAGGCTATACGTAAAATGGATTCATGATATTTCTACTTGATTTAATAATCCTTCAATTTTACCTTTTGTGTAGTATTCATTTCCTTGTACTTTGAACATAGGTTATGGAAATTAATTCCAGGGTATTGGTAGGCATTAACTTAGAAGTAGGTAAGTTAATTTCTTGAAAAAGGATTTTGTCTGGAAATTGACTAGTTCACCTTAAATAGCTTATGTTTAATTGAAGGGCTTATTATTTGTGGTTATACCTGCTTTTATTGACTTAATTTGATGATTCTGTACTTATTTCATATTCTGTTTGACCTTCATTTGTGGGTTTGTCATTTGATCATACTTTCTGGTTGCATGGAATTAATTTTAAAGCCCTCATAGTACTGTGTGGCATATTGGCCATTTTATCTGTTCAGAAAAACTAGTTTTAATCATGAAACTGGAGATGTGAAGAGTCATAAGTATGCAGCTGGCTTAGTTAACATATGTCAATCAGTTACTGAAGGGGACATTGGTAGCTTTTTGTTGTTGTATTTTTCTTGAACTGGCATCATCAGATATCTAAAGTCAGATTCCTAAATCAATGGCATGAATTATTTGTAAGATGTTGGAAATTATTAATATTTAACTTTATCTGTTTTTAATTTTCATCCTTAAAGGAAAAGGAAGAACTTTATTTTGCTACCTGTAGTTACTTGTGTTTTGATCATCTGTTTTGAAAAGAATTTAAATCAGTCAAGATCAGGGCCTCAAGTTCTTTGATAACATTTGGATTGGATGAGTCTAAGGTTTTTCTTAAATTTTGTAATAAAGGTACATTTGCTATTTTTATTAATTGCCAGTAATACACTAGCTTCATTAAAATTTAACAGAGTACATTTATTCTCTGATTCTGTTTTACATTCATAATGAAGTATGCTTTTAGACCCCCTTAGCTGAAGTTTCTAAATAACTGCCTTTTTCAGCATCACATTTTGCATCAAATTATTATGTAGAATTAAACTCCAAATATAGATAGCAGTGGCCTCAGAGCTGTTAACTTAAGTATCCTTAAGTAGACATAGCACATTATCCTGCATGTTTTGGATCAGAGAACTAAAAATGTAATTTAATTTAAACCAGTAGTTACTGAACATCTATGTCTAATAGCATTGTGCTTGGTTCTTTGGGTGATGTAAAAATAAGATATGGGCCCAGGCACAGCATGCCTGTAGTCTCAGCTACTTGGGAGGCTGAGGCAGGAGGATCACTTGAGCCCAGGAATTTGAGGTTATAGTGAACTAAGATTGTGCCACTGCACTTGAGCCTGGGCAGTAGAGTAAGACCATATCTCTCTGAAAAAAATAAAAGATATGGATCTTATAAGAGTAAATACATATAAATAATTTTTTAAAAACTGGAGAGAGTTAAAATAACTCATAACTGTAGAATCATAGAATATGGTAAACAACTTCATATTGAGGGAAATGGGACATTGATACAAAGAAACAGAATTTGGGAAGAGGCAGGCAAGCTCTGTTAAACTGTTAGCAAAGGAGTTAATATCTCTTTTTTGGTAACAGTGGCTGAAATCATTTACATTAAATTCTCATTTTTGAAAGAAGCATTTTTGTATCAAAATTTGTCCTTGTAAATTACACTATCTGTTGTATAATTAAAGAATTTGAGCCACTGCATGGACTGAGGTCCTCAGAGATGACCATCTTTAAATATGGAACTGAAATTACTAGCTTTCTGATTTGAGGACATGTTTTCCATATCCTGTTGGGTATTTTCAGCATCCTTTGTAGGTTCATCTTATTTTGTGTCTCCTTGGACCATAAATATTTGGGTAGTAGAAGGTCCGAGGAAGTTGGGAATACTGAAAAAGCTGTTGTCTTGAGGGAAAGGTAATAGCAGATGCCAATGTAATTTTGTTTTAAAAATAATTATATGTTTAATTCAGCAGTTGGCAGAAACTTTTGGTAGGCATCTTAAGCTGTTCTATTACTCCCAGCCTCCTAGTTAGGGAAAATCACTGGGGCCAATACTTCAAATGTGTATTTTTCTCTTAAGAAAGAACAGTAGGGAGTTAAAGGAGTTTGACTATCTGAGTTGCTACATACAGGTTTCTATAAGTTTCTGTTATCTTTTTAGCATGCATTTTAACTTAAGGTAGCAATTTTAGGTGTTAGAGCAAGCTAATTTTTATACTTTGAACTACAAAAATACTGATTTTAAGATTATGGGCAGAGATTTAGGCAATACTAATGAGCACTATTACATTTGAAGGACAGCAAACTAGATTTTCAGAAATTATGTGTTATGTATTTTTGTCTTAAGATAAAGATGGCTTTTAATTTTGTTTATTTACATGGAGTGGTTCATCTTGCATTTTTGTGATTTTTTTTTTTTTTTTGGTAGCAATACTTTTTATGCTATTTCAGTATTGATACAACTTTAATGAAAAAATATAACTGTAAAAAGCATCTTATTGTGAGTTATACAGCCTTGAGTGGGAAAACAAAAGCTACCTACAGTCCTAGATTGGTACAGAATATCTTGATAAAAATTTATTTTTCATATACATAGGACACTATGTTAAAAACATTCTAAACTTAAAGCTATCATTATGTCTACTAGAGACTTGTTAGTTGCTTTAGTTGATTTTTCTCCTGTGGAGTGTTTTTTACAATGTGTTTTTTCCTTTATATTTTAGCCAAGAGTTGAAGCTAAACCAGAAGTTCAATCTCAGCCACCTCGTGTGCGTGAACAGCGACCTAGAGAACGACCTGGTTTCCCTCCTAGAGGACCAAGACCAGGTGAGTCAGCTCTGCCTTTAGCATTTAACATTTGTAGGGTTGGAAAAGACTGAACTTTAAAAAAACCCAAAAACTATGATGTGTTCTGTACACAGACCTGTATAGTATCAAATTGCTTAAAGATGTGATGTGAGCAACCTGCTAAAATAGTATCTGTGGTGAATAACCAGTTTTTAGGGAGGATTGGTTGACATGCAATGGAGACATGTTTTGAAGGAGTAAAAGACTTAAAATTTATTTGGTTATTGTCACTGGTTTTAAGAATTCAAAACCAAGCTGCCAGTAACCTACTCTCTTAGCACTGTCTCTTCACAGATAAACAGTAAGCACACCTAGATTCTTATTTTGATTTTTAAGTAAGTTGCCATGATTTTTGACTTGTTTACATAGTTAGCTATACATGTAATACCTTTATTTGAACTGTATAAGAATTTTTAGATTGCTTTTGAAAGGAGATGGGAGAGATGGAGATAGTGACTATCACATTTACAATGTTTTTTGTTTTTTAAAGTAAACTAGAAGTTGTAAATTTGTCACTGATTAAACTTAGGATCTTGAGTGAGACCTTAAATTCTGAGCTTTTGTGTCAAACATTACACAAATTATTCTTGTGTATGCCTCACTGTGTTCTGTGTTATTGAGAGAGTCAAATAAGATTTTATTTATATCTATATACATATACACTTAAAATGTATAGACTACATAAATGTGATAATTGCTGTTAAAATTTATTGATTTTGCTGTAATGTCATATAGCCAAATAATTTTGAATTTCAAAAGACTAAGCAAATATTTAGTAGTCTGTACCTCACTATCTGAAGTCTGCTTGGCTCCTGGGTGATGGCAGCAGTTTGGTTAAGGAGGAATACCTGTAATACTAATACTTGATTTTTGTATAATCAGTCTAGTAGATCTAGAAGAAGCTATTTTAGCAACCTAGTCATTGTCCTCACTTTACATTTTAGTGTCATGCTGTTTTCTAACCTACTAATAATAGGTACTTTTGCCTCTTTTTCAAGAAGCTCACCTAGTCTTATTAAGCTAAAACAGGAATATCAATAGTAAGTGATTTTTACATTCATTCCTTTGAAGTAGTTTTTATGATATTGTAAACTTTAATATCTGTTCTATTTCTCTTTTCAGGCAGAGGAGATATGGAACAGAATGACTCTGACAACCGTAGAATAATTCGCTATCCAGATAGTCATCAACTTTTTGTTGGTAACTTGCCACATGATATTGATGAAAATGAACTGAAAGAATTCTTCATGAGTAAGTGATTTATTTTGCTGTAAGTTTTTAAATCATTTTAAATTAAGCAAGAAGCATATAGAGCTTTTTCAATAACTACTTTTTAAAAAATGTTTCTCTCTATACTGTGTCCAGCTACCAGTCTCACCTCAATTGAGAGGAAGGGAGTAGATGACTATATCAGATGTTTCTCCGTGACTGCTTAGTGTTGACTTGGTCTGGCTCAACAGAGTTTAGAAGATAAATCAGACTGGATAAATCAGTCATAAATTCAGAGATAAAGGATTCATTTGGCAAATGGGTCAATATATTAGGAGAAACTACATTGTCTTTCCAAATTATGCAGTTAACTTTACTTTTGAAAGGAGTAACAAAGATGCAGAAAGGCAGGCAGGCTACTTGGTATCTTAGGTGACTGCCTGCTTGAATAAATGTACCTTAGCTATCACTGTGTGTGGAAGCTTGCGAGTTTTCTTTTAAAATGGATCAAGGAGATAAGATTATTCATCCTGAACAATTACAGCCATCAAAGTATTCTGTTAAAAATATTTAACTCTTGATGTAATATATATTTTCACAGGTTTTGGAAACGTTGTGGAACTTCGCATCAATACCAAGGGTGTTGGGGGAAAGCTTCCAAATTTTGGTTTTGTGGTTTTTGATGACTCTGAACCAGTTCAGAGAATCTTAATCGCGAAAGTAAGTGATTTAAAGGGCATATTTCAAGACTATTATTTCTGTTGTATATATTAATTTGGGGTATTTAAAAACCATAGAGAATCTTTTAATAGTAAAGCTAAAAATAGTTAATTATTAAAGAGTATTTATGCAGTGAATAAAGATTTGTTAGCAGTTTTAAAGTCTTTAAGATGTGGATTATTTAAATTTCGTTAC